GAAACAAAGATTGAATTCTGATGACAGAACCTAACAAAATAAGAGAAATGAAATACTTATATACATTGTCAAATATAAAATGAAAATGTGTACTAATTTTCACTAAAAATTTTACAAAACCGCAACACGTGTTTCGCCATACGATATTTCTCATGCATTTTTCAATTGGCAGAAGTGTGTACTATTAGTAGGATAGTATTATAGAATTAACATAAATTCATGACATTCCTATTGGTTGAATTGAATTGCCTGATTTTTGTGCAATTTGAAATGGGTAGCACTCAGTTCCCTTTATCTTTAGATTGAAATTATCTCTATATTTATGGCCTAAGGCCTCCCTATATACTTTTGAAGAGTAATTCTGTCCCCGAGGCGACAATTTCTTTTTTAAAACTCCCATGGGTCGTATGGGTTCAATTTCGAGTTCACTATACACTTTCCTTTTGATGGCAATTTTAGACGATTGAGTTTCTCTGGGAGACTTTCAAGTTTTTGTATTACTGAGACCTACCGTAAAGATAAGTTCATCAACTGGTCAGATACTTAATGAACACACTGCAGTTGCTCACAGGATACAGAGATTGGATATACGAGGTAACATTCAGATGTACTTGTGAGCTACAACGTGGTCTTCTTGTACACGATTGTTTCGGTCAAAGATAGTATACGGTTAAGTGGCGAAGACACTCACTGTTTATCATTGACGTATTTCCAGTAGGATAATGTTTTCTACGAATAAACAGATGCTACCGTAATGAGCAGCTCATTAAGCTCGGTAGTGGTAAACTTTTTAAAGAAAAATTTAAACAACGGGCCTTAGAGCAAGCGACCGTGAAACTTATTGTTGGCAATATTAACTTGATGATACGTTTGCGGTTTGGCAGAATTGCCAAAATAAGCTAAACGAATTTTTATTATATCGAAACTCACTCTACTCCAAAATCCAATTTACAATGAAACGGAAAACCACTATGGCATTCTTAGATGAACTAGTGAACTGACGTGAATAAGGAGCATTGGGTCATAGAATGTACAGAAAACCAACGCATACATATAGGTATCTGAATAAGAAGTAAAACTACCAAATACAACAAAAGAGAGAGGGGGTAATTAATAAGTTAGTTGAAAGAGCCTGACGTGTCTGTCAACCTGGAAGACTTCCCGAGGTACTTCACCTAAAAAAATGCCTGCAAAGGGAGTGGCTATACCGAAGTCGAATTTAAGAGGGCGATACGATCCAGGGGAGAGACTGTTAAAGTCATTTCAGCTAGGCTTGTTAATGGAAAAGTTTCCCTCCGCTACGTTAAAAATATTACACACCAGATATGAAGAATTCTGGAGAAACACAACGTGAATTCAATATAGCAATCTAGTTGATTCCTTGCATCTATGGATCGGTGTACATTGGAAGAAGTGTAAGTACTCGACTATCTACACACAAAAGAAATTGTCGACTTGTGCATACCGATGAATCAGCTGTAGTCGAACTTGCACTCAGTAGTTTTCTCACGTTCTTGGATACCTTGCTAAGTGGTACTACACCTAACAAACCAAGAACTTTATTCATTTATTCAAAAATACAATTTAAAATATATATTTCAATAACACTTCAAAATCTTCTGGTTTAAGTAGCCACGGAAAATAATGAGCACATATTTCCAATGATTCAATTAACATTCAAAGAAAACATGTTTGAATTATTCAAAAACGAATCATAGACATACATATTAATGTACACATGCACGATAATTAATTTGGTCAATGACAATGGATATTTCGGACTAGGACAATGCTATGCAATTTACTGGGCGGCAATGTTGTGCAAATTATAATTTGGGCGACAAGTTTTTTTATCTAATTCACAATACTTTCTGCTTGTTGATTTCGAAAAGATTATAGCAATGTAGTTCAATTCAATAGTTCAGTAATGCTATTCAAGATAACATAATTGGTCAATTTTCACAATTTTTTATTCTAGACGCGATTCGCTAACCCCGTAGCTTCATTGGTAGAAATAGTACACACACTGGTCTACAATTCTTATATACAACATTAGTAGTTACCTGGTTACCAAAAAAACCAATACATAGAAATGAACCGGCAGCGAACTCGTGGACTGTAGACTTGGCGGTTTGTATTGTATAATTTTTACTAACCGAGTTTTATTGGCTGATTGTCTGAAGACTCACAAAATTAAATTTTAAGTCATGTTATCGTGACGAATAGAAATTGGGGAACTGATCGCGATTTGAGTGTTGAAATTCGATATTGGTGCAGTTATAATTACTTAAAATTGTTGTTATCTGTTTGAAATGTGGCGTCCTTGGACAACTACTAATTGTAATAACGAGTGTGATAACAACGCAGACTTTATCCAGTGTAGTAATTCCAATAACGATGGTGAATAATGCGAAAAAGAGATACCAGTGAATAAGATTCGGAAGCATTTGATTATTGAAACACAAAGAGTATGTTTCAATGTATATAAGAATCTACATCTCAAGTTTGGTTTCGAGGGTAACAAACTATTACAAGCCACATCAGATTTTACCAAAATTCCTTTCTCAACTGTAAAATAGTCAAAAACAAACCTTATGAACGCAAGACGCAATGTGATACGGGATTACCAAAACCTTTATATGTTTATCTAATGAAATCATTGAAAAAAACAATATACTACTGTTACAAAAGCAATGAGGTTCCTAC